CTTTAATCGAAACTAGACAACAAAAACAACGTGAAAGCAACGATCTGGAGACACGTCAAAGAAAAGAACAAGAACTTTTATTAGAATTGGAACGTTTAAAATTAAACCTGGCAGCTGCTAGCTCAAACCCTAACTATGCCGCCTTTGCTTCAAATGCAGCAATTGCTTCAAATGCAGAAACAAATATTCAACACCTAATCCCTAAATTTACAGGAACTTCTGACATTGCAACCTACCTGCAAATTTTTGAAAGACAATGTGAGAAAGTTAATATAAAACAAATAGATTACATCACTCATCTCCTACCTCTTCTGCCTATAGACATTTCGCAAATTATTTTAAGAGAACCAAAAGACAAATTAGAAGATTATTCTTACATCAAGAAGATTCTGCTACAAAGATTCAAATTAAATGCTGAATCATTTCGAATTAAACTTACTACACACCAAAAACACCCTGGGTCTTTATGGAAAGATTTTACTTACGAATTAAACAATTATCTCGAAGAGTGGCTTCCATAGTCTCGATGTTACAGACTTTGAATCACTCAAAGACTTGGTCCTGACGGATCAGCTTAAAAGAAGAGTCAGTAGTGACGTTAAGGAGCATTTTATTGATACTTGGGGAAAAATAAAGAGTTCATCTGAATTAGTACAGAAATTGGATGATTATGAAGCTGTACGTGTTAAAAATACGAACTATAAAACTCAACTTCCTGGCAGGCGGAACTATTCTTACAAACCGACTAATCCATCCAAACACAAAGTAGAAAATCGAACAAGTGACATACAGGGAACTCATAAAACCTTTTCAAATCGTGGTTCAGCAACAAACAGAGGAAAAGCGACCTCCTTTAACATGCTATGGGTGCGGAAAAACTGGTTTTATCAAGTCTAAATGTCCAGACTGTAACCCCCCAAAGACTTCAAATTCATCAAATTTTGGCACTATCCAAATCCGATCCTGTTTATCTTCCACTCGGACTGCTGTATTTCCAATTAGTATTGGTGGTGTTTCCGGTACAGCTTTCGCCGACACTGGTGCTAGTCACTCAATTGCAAGTGAATCCCTCTATCATATTCTGGAAAAAAAAGGTGCAGTATTTGAAAAGACAACACTACAGGTGTCTTTCGCTGATGGTTTGGTATCTGAAAAAGAGGTACTTCGCACCGAACAAATCATTCTTCTCGAAGGCAGAGAGTTCAAAACTCCGCTCCTTGTGTTGCCTGATGCCAAAAATAACTCGACTCTGTTAGGAATTGACTTTCTTCAAAAAGCTAAAATTGTTTTAAATCTTGCTGAAAATAAGTGGAACTTTTCTGATGAACCTCGAAGAAAATATAGCTTCGTGAAACCTCATCAATCCCAAGTACTGGAAGAAACCCCAGTTGTTGTAAACAACTGCCGAACTACGAGAAAATGAAGGACAGCAATTAACTACAGCCCAACGGCTTGCAACTGATGCATTGCTTAACAAATATCACACTGTCTTCAAAGTAGGGGAAGCCACTCCATTCATTGAACACCATATTAACACAAGAAACAGCCCCCCTGTTTCAGTCCCTCCATATCGGATGAGACCAAGTAAGAAAGAACTGTTGAAAAAGGAACTTGATTCCCTTCTAAAACAAGGTATTATAAAAGAATGTGAAAGCCCCTATGCCTCTCCTGTGGTTCTGATTCCCAAGGCAGATGGAAAAGTACGGTTATGCATTGATTATCGTAACCTAAATGCTCAAACCGTTCCAGACACTTATCCTTTGCCACATATAGATGATTTGTTGAGTGAAGCAAAACCGACACCTTATATGTCAACTATTGACTTGAGATCCGGTTATCATCAGGTGAGAGTAGCTGCAGAAGATCAAAATAAGACCGCTTTTGTTAGCCCTTTTGGTACATATAAATTTACCCGAATGCCCTTCGGATTGAAAAACGCTCCTGCCACTTTTTCTAGATTGATAGATAAGTTCCGTTCTGGACTGAATAATGTGTTTGCTTTGTCATATTTAGATGATATCATCGTGCTGTCATCTAGCTTCGAAAAGCACCTTTCTGACTTAGAACAAGTTTTCCAACGTCTATCGTTATTCAAGCTCAATGCTAACCGTGAGAAGTGCCACTTCTGTTGTGAAAAAGTGAAATATTTAGGCCATTACATTAATAAGCATGGTATAGCTGTTGATCCACACAAGACTGCTGCCATTGCAGAAATGCCATCGCCGAAAACTGTTAAGCAAGTGCAATCGTTCGTACAAACGTGTTCCTGTTATCGTTGATATATTCCAAATTTTTCTTAAATAGCCAAACCGTTAACGGATTTAACAAAGAAGAAAGCACTGTGGAAGTGGGAAGCACAACAAGAAAATGCTTTCCAAGAGCTGAAATCCAAATTAATTAGCCCACCGATTCTTAAGCAAGCTGATGGAACGAAGCCTTTTATCATTCGCACAGATGCTAGCAATGTAGCCATTGGAGCAGTGTTGCTACAAGGGAAGAAAAATGAAGAACACCCTATAGAATATGCCAGCCGCTTGCTGACCGAATCAGAACGAAACTATTCCACCATAGAAAAAGAAGCCTTAGCAGTAGTATGGGCACTCAACAAATTTAGAGGATATGTTGAAAGCCAGTCTATCACAATCACCTCTGACCACCAACCATTGAAGTGGCTGATGTCTTTAAAGTCTCCAACTGGTAGGCTCGCAAGATGGGCCTTACAAATCCAATCCTACAATCTGACTATAAATTACATTCCTGGACGCTTGAACTTTATTGCTGATCTATTGTCTCATCCTATTTGTGAACACTCAAGTACAGATTCTTGTCAAGTCTGTGCTGTCTCTGTCGAAATCCCTACTATTAGCCCTGCAGAATTAAGACAATCACAGCTAGAAGATGATGATCTTCAGAAGATCATCAAAACTTTTGAGAGTCCAGAGAAAGAATCAGACTGTGCAACTTGGACTGGAAGAGGCTACGTTATGAACAGAGGAGTTTTGTACCGATATTCCCCTGATTCGGAAGAGGAAGAAGCTCAACTAGTTATACCTCAAAAAAGAAAAGCAGAAATCTTGAAAGAATATCATGATTCGCCAACGGCCGGTCACTATGGATCTGAAGGAAGGAACATTTTATCGAATAGCAAAAAGATACTACTGGGTTGGAATGAGAAAGGATATAGCAGAATATGTCAAAAGCTGTCTCGAATGCTGTCGTTATAAAGCCACTAATCAAAAGCCATCTGGCTTACTTCAAACTCCAGTCTATGCTCAACGTTTTGAGACCTTGTCAATTGATCTTTTCGGTCCCTTTCCTGAAACACCCTCTGGTGAAAAATGGATTTTTATTGTGCAGGACTGTGCTACGAAGTGGACAGAACTATTTTCTTTAAAGGAAGCCACGGCCAGAGAATGTGCCACTAGTCTTTTGGAGGAAGTCGCCCTTCGATTTGGGTTATGCAGGAAAATAATAAGTGATAATGGTACACAGTTTACTAGTGCTGTTACTAGTGCTGTTATGCAACAACTATGCTATATCTTGAACATTGATCAAAGTCTTACTCCTGTCTATCACCCACAATCTAACCCAGTTGAAAGGAAGAATAGAGGTCTGAAACCACGTTTAGCAATACTTGTTGGTAACGACCATCAATCATGGAAGGATAAACTGTTATTAATAAGGTTTGCTTTGAATACAGCCAAATGTGATTCAACTGGACATTCTGCTGCTTTTCTTCAATTTGCATGAGAGTTACAAACCTTAGATGATGTAAAGCATGATATAAAAGCCGTAATTGAGAACGATAGTTTTGTTCCCGAAATTACTCCATATTTGAAACGTTTTGCAAGAAATGTACAACAGGTACGAGAAAGAGTCGAAATGCATCAAGATAAACAGAAACGTTATGCTGGCAAAAAACGAAGACAAACACCGAAATTCGTTCCTGGAGATAAAGTTTGGGTCACCCTCTACCCAATCAGCAAAGGTCCACTGAAGAAAACTGCTAAATTCATGCCGAAGAGAGATGGTCCTTATGTGATAGTGACTACAAGATCTCCAACCACTTATGATATTGCCGATCCTCATGAACCAGACAAAATTCTCGGCAAGTATCATGTTTCAGCCTTGAAACCATATCAAAATCGAAATAAGTTTCAAAACTCAGCTCGTGTAACTCCAGTGGTTCCCTTAAAGAAAAGAGGACGCCCGAAACGTGTAATACCACCGAATCTGCACCTGTTGCACAAGGTGCTGGTGACGCAAAATCTACTGCTCGTCAAACTGGAGCCCATTCATCTGATTCTCCGCCCGCTGCACAAAGTAGACAAATGTCAGTTCCTGACTTCTTGCCGAGACGTCTACGAAGTCAGAGAGGGAGGATGTAACAGGACTATTTAAGTGTAATTGAAACTATTTTATTCACGCCATGAACTCATGAACTGTAACCAAACTATTTTATTTAAACGTGATCTTGTGGCGATATGAAAAAACCACAGTCGACCTCCAGCCACCATGATGATAGTTTACTATGTTATGTTATTCAAATGTTTGATGTTCCATTTGGTATAAGTTTCATTTTTATGTATAATTCTTTTTTTTTTGTAACCGTTCCTGGGTGCTCTGTTAATAAATCCTTTCAAAACTAGCCGGCATTAGTGTTTATTGAGGAACGGCTACATCACAAAGTCAGATATCTTTAAGTTTTACTTTAAACATGAAAGAACTATGGAATTAAAGCTACAAGAAGGGCTATTCAAAACCTCATGTTTAAATATCAGTTTATATGTAAATCATACATTATTTCAATTAGCATGACACAAAATTTGCTTTTTAAAATAGACCAGATTGATATAAAGCACACACAAAAAACACATCATTAGAGCAAGAAGCTCATTCAGAATTTCCTCAACAAACTTACTCTATAACTTTGATTATCAAGACAATAAATTTTGAGACATTCATGTAATTTTTAAAACAAAAATTGATTCTAAACTTACCAAATGTCAACTGCAGTAGTATGATCTTCTGACAACAGCAGTATTTCAGGAGCTAAATAGCTGGAAAAAAAATTGACCATAAAACTTACAAAAAGGTTTTAAAAATTATAATTTACAGAATAATTTTAAAAATCTCACATATTCTGTATACTATAACTATAAAAATCATAACATACTTAAAAGATATGCTTGCTTACCTTAAAACTTCACCACATGCAACTTCAGAGGCTTTCTAATTTCTAATTTTATAATTTTTAATAAAAAAGGTAAAAAATTCATAGACACACTTGAACTCCATTGCAACGTTTTGAGTTACCATCTGCTCACTTTAGTCACATCCATATCGATTTGTTTGGACAATTATCCCCATCACAAGGTTATACATACCTCCTTATACCTTTTTAGAATCTACTATTGCAGATGCTAGCAATGGTCATTCTTACACAGCGTTACCAGATCGATGGAGTATGGTTTAAAAATCAATAAAGAGGAAATCAGGACCAACTGCTGCAGCGTCCAGTTTTACAAGAGTGTAAGGCTTCATCCAGATACCATGCAGTCTTCTCAAAACCGTCTTTAAAATAGGTGCAATATTCCATTGGAGTTCCAGCCCAGGATGCTACTATCTCCGAATGCATGTGATGTTCAAAGATGTTTTGGACACAATTCCATATGCTTATTTCTTTCTAAATCTCCTTATGTGTATCAACAGGTACACATGTTGGCCAGAGGCTATCCCTCTTGTGGATATGTGGCACTGTGTCCAAAAGATTTTTTTCCTACATAGATTTTCATGGTTTGAAGTACCCGAGTGCATTATCATGGACCAGAGATGACAGTTTGAGTCTCAATTATTTATAGCATTAACAAAATTCTTGGAAACTAAAAATATCCACACATCACCGTATCATCCGAATTTTAATGGACTTGTTGAGAAGTTCCATCACTCTCTTAAACAGGCCATTAGATGCCATGTTTTTGTTCAGTGGGTTGATGTTCTACCCACAGTGTTGTAGGATTAAGAATTACTTTTAAAGAGGACCTGGGTTCTTCCAGCACTGAATAGGTCTACGGTATCAATTTATGTTTACCTGGAACGTTTATAAACCCTACAATAAACTCAATGTCGATATCATGTATTTCTCAGACAATTGCACGAAACCATAGCAACATTATCTCCTACACCTACAAGTGTATATTCTTCAAGACCTGTGTTTATACTAAAGAGCTTGCTGAATCCTCACATGTGCTAAAGTATGATGCACCCAAAAAGTTTTTGAAGCCTACTTATACAGGTCCACATCTGGTTCTAGGTTGCACATCTAAGAACTATCAGATACTTATGGGAAACAAAAAGATAGTGATGAGCCTTGATCATCTTAAACTGTAACTTAAATTTATTTTTGTACCAGAAACTGTCAAGACTAATACTTCAATCACATCTGCTTCAAAGGAACCTATAATTTCATTCCATGTGTCTACACCTACAGTTGCCACTACATCATCACCTGTGTCTGAATTCCAGAAGCAAAGTGCTCTTCAGCATACATGTTCTGGACATAGGGTCTGATTTAACCCTTGGTACCTTTAATTTTGTTGACACTGGAGGGAAGTACTGTGGTGATACTAAAGGAACTTATTTTTGTTACTTGCCAACTGCGTGCTGAATCTCTAGCTGTAACTCTAATGGAGATTTTCGAGATGCACTCACACAACACTTCACGCTTCGTCACCGCCGCACTCGGTCAGATTTATCCTTCAATGCAAATATCATCAATGTTCATTTAATGAGTAATTGTTATGTTGTAATTAAAAGTTTGTTATTTAAAATAAACCATCTTCATGTGTGTAAATCATAATACACAAAAACCTTGCTAAGCCTCTACATATATTTATTGTTGCACTCAGCATGCTGCGACACATGAAATTATTGCTGTGTTTCCAAAGAATTTTCTCCAGCTATTCATTTATTTACAATAAATTAGAATACTCTTTAGCATTTAAAAGCAAAACTGATGTTATAAATGCTTTTTTGAGGAAAAAATCAGACAGAACTTCATTTTAAAATACATTTTCCTCTACTAATTACTGTACTAGAATAAGTTTTTAGTTATTTTCTGAGGTTCTGCCATTTGCTGCTACTTATTACTAGAGGCTTTACTAACTTGGCAGCAACTTGCCAGCCTTGATTTATACACAAATCTTGTTATTCAATCTAGGCAATAAAAATTGATTTTTAAATTAGAAATAATAGATGCAGAGGAGAAATAATATACATTCAAAAGTCGTTATTCCGGACTCATCGGGACTTCGGCGATTCCGGATTATCGATTTTTCCGGATTATAGATCATCAGTTTAAATCTCGTAAGATGGCATGCAGAAATTCTAAAATTAAAAATATGAAACCTTAATTTATGAAATAAAGAACAATTATGATCTAAAGGGTATCAAAATTAAAAAAAAAAAAAAAAAAAAAGCTTAATATTTATTTGTTTACTTTATTAAACATTGTTTTCAATGTAAGTTGTTTAAGTTGCTTCGTTTTATGTGATAATACTTTCTCTTTAATTCTATAAAAAGACATAATTTCTTGTTCAGTTACAAAGTTCCGCTGTTCAAGACCCGTAATTGCTGTGCCGAGATGCTGACTAACTTGTCAATCGAAATTTTTTCGTTTTCACTAACCTCTCTGTTACCTTCTTCATGTCTTTATCCATTTTTTGCAGCAATTCCACTTTTTGTTTGATGGACATCGAAACGTACTTTCGTTTTGTAGATCCTTTGGGAGCTCCAGCATCGGAAATTCTATTTGACATAATCGAAAGTTCAAGTTTACTTTTATAAAATTGCTTTTACAGTCTGAAAAAAGTAATAAGCCGGATCCAGTTCGAAGATTAAGGAATAACGCAATCATCAACATTAACTGAAATAAATAATTAGATAATTTTAGCTCATACCATCCATTATACATTAAATGCGCACGCGAAAACGTATTCTGCACTTGCGCACACACATATGCGCAGTCATAAAGGTCTTACGCACACGCGTAAACACCTATGCGCATGTGTCAACGCGGCGCATGCGCAGAAAGTTTTTAGTTTTGAGGTCCAGATTATAGATCATTATGGATTATGGGTGTCCGAATCAACGACTTTTGACTGTATATTATAGTACAGAAACTCATGCAATTTTTTTTCGTGAAAACTAAACTCATGCAATGTTTCTTCATGACAATTAAACTCATATTTCCTTGTGACAATTAATCTTCATATATATCAAAACATAAATTAATTCTAAACTTACCAAATGTCAATTCCAGTATTATTCTCTTCCGACAATTGTGCAGTAGCTAGATAGCTGAAATGAATAAAAATCACTATGGGGTATTTTTAAAAGCTTTAAAGAATCTAATTCATAAAATAATATACATATTTTTGTTAGTTTCAGACTTTGTATATTCTCATTGCAAAAATTAAAATCAACATGAAAAAATAAGTCTATTTATATAATATCATTCCCATGTTCAGTTTCAGAGATTTCAAGCAAGTAAGTATAATTTATTAGAAAGAAATGAAATAATATAATGTCATTATAATATTCTGAAAAACAGTGAAAAAATCGCCTCTTAGCAAAATAACAAAAAAATTATCATAGATTTCTAACAATTATGTTAATTTCAACATTTGTTTTGCATTATTTTCAGTTTGCTATATTTCATTATCATTAATTTTATTACTGTTTAAACTTTATCATGGGCTACGATTAAAAATGTAATTTACCAGCAGTTTTCCATTTTTCCAGCTATCACTGTCAAATTAATCATATAATATTTTCAAGTTATTTCCCATTTACTATATAAATACATTTACTATGCCTTGTAATCACAATCATTTTATAACTCTTTATTTTATAACATATTTTTTATAAACACTTAACTTGTACATTTTTAAGTCATGGACCTCAAAAAAAGTTTTATTCATTTAATGATAATTTATTAGTTAATAATAATCTACAAAATATCTTCAAATCTCTGTATAAGATTTATATTATACTGCAAATTAGCTCCATTTACAGGATTGCTAATTATTTATTCATATTCACTTTTGATGACAATGAAAATAATGTAAACTCACTAATTAAAATCTTAAAGTTTTTGCAATGCCACATTTACAATTAATATCTAATTTAACTGTATTCATGGGCCATATAAAACTGCTTTGGGAGTAGCCCATTAGCCACCAAAGCTCCTATATTTTGTTCGTATTTTTAACTTTGTTATAGATTTTTTTGAATTTCTAGCCAATAAAATACTTGCCAATTTTGTAAGAATAATAATAATAATAATAATAATAAAGAGATTGTTGAAAGAATTTTGGAAAAAAAAAAAAGCATTAAAATGAATTTTACAGAGAAAGCTGACAATATATTTATTAAGTATTTTGAAAGAATTATACAGGGGAAAACACTTATGCAAATTAGACCAAATTAATTTGAACATAATTACAGTAGTAGTTCTTTGTTTTTGCTAAAAAAGTAATTAAAATTTCTGCTTTATAATATTTATTAGCTTGTTTAAATTTCAGAATCAAGATATGCAGAAATCATGATAATGAAAGGGGAAGTCATTTTAAAAATGTGACAGATAGAAACAAAAATAATTTAATATTATTTTCTAGAAAACAAAATTTTAAAATGCTGTTTCTACTTTTAATCATAATAATACTCTTATATTTTTAAAAATAATCATCATGAAGTTCACTAACAAAATCAAAGTTTTTGTAGGCAAACTGATCTTAAAATCATCAAACTTGGCAAGGCCCAATAAAATCGTTCACATTGTTGCATTCATTGTTTTCATGGATTTGGAGTGATTGATGACATCACTTGATGAAGAATCAAAACACAATTTATTTGTCAGTATTTCACAGGACAGATTCATTATTCAAAGATTCATTATAGCTGTCGAAAAACTGATAAACATGCTAAAACAATCAGCAACACAGCCTTCAGGCTATCAGGCTATAATGGTAAAGACAGTTTCATGGCAAAGCACTAAAGTACAGATCCTGACTTAGTCAATTGCTCTCAAGCTAATCTCAAAGCACTACTACTGAACTTAACACACTCAAGATACTCTTCACGATAAAACTGCTACTCCACATACAGGCAGGGTTTAAGTAGCTTTTGACCTGCCTTCAAGAACATTCTGGGGCAAACCAGTAAGAATTTCTTTCAGAAATAGGCAATTCTGCATTCTGAAGATATGTCAGGTATGGCAAAATAAAGATTTTATACAAGTTTTATATTCTTTGTTGCAAAATCATTCAAGTTAACTGAGTTTTTATAATTGTTTCTTTATTTTTTCTATTATTAAGTGTAGTCCCAAATATCTTAGAGAAGATTTATATGGTCACTATTAAAATACTCTTTTATTTTAATAAATACAGAAAAGTATCTCCCAATAAGGGACACACACTGGATCAGACGTTTTGTACCTTAAATGCAGACATCTTTTGTTAAGAGGTAAATACATGCCTAATTCAAAGGGATGGGACCAACAGAATTGTCCCTTAAATAGAGATTTTCCTTACAGGAGGTATTACTGTATTCTTTAAAAATATCACTACTGAAATCACAATCAAATGAAAATTTGAAGTTTAAAATAACAGACAATCATATAATATACTATGTAGGCTTTAAAAAGATATTAGAACACCTGTGCACTAAAACTACAGAATAACACTAGAAAATATTTATAATTTTACTGGATATTTTTGTTTATTTACTTTACATATTTTCCCAACAAATGAATTAATGTTCTTACTAGGTTCTGAACCATCTTGTAATTTATCTACTTCTTTGTTACCATCTTCTTCAATATCCCCTTGAAAAATAAATTTCTTTTTGCTTTATGTGATAAAATTTTTCCTAAATAATTTTTCTTTGAATTTTCAGATTAATTAAAACACAAGAACACGTCGAACAAATACTAATTCAGAAGTCAAACAACAAAAATCAGCATTATAATTTGAAATTTTAACATGACCAGTTTCGATGGTTTTACCGAACCACCATCCTCAGCTGCAAAACCACAAATGAACAAGATAGGAAATAATGATTAGATAAGATAAGAAAGCCTGGACAAGAATAAGCAAGTGGTGCCATCTGTTGGTGAAACCAGAACTAAAACATAATTTCTTTAAAGGCCGAAGGCAAAGATGGATTGGAATTAGGATCGTTAACTAGAACAGAAAGGTTTTTTTGAATGTGAAATGCCTCTAGAAAATCCAGTTCTCCAATGGAAGATGTTTTTTGAATAATTCTGCAACAGAAAAATTGAAAGTGTGATTTTCGGACCAACAATGTTGAGCAACAGAAGACTTCTGTGTTTCCTTTTTTCTAACATATGCCTCATGTTCCTTGACGTGAAATTTTAAGGCTCTCTTTGTTTGGCCAATATAAATTAAACCACACTGGCAAGGAATCCTATCAATACCCCAGGAATTCATATCCGGAATGGGGTCCTTGAGTATGGAACTCGGAATTTTATTGATGGGAGAATAAACAACCCGAAGGTTAAATTTCTGCAAAATACATGCAACTTTATAGCTAACTGATTGAAAGAAGGGAATGACAACAGAATTTTTATAATCTCCTAAAACAAGAGTGTGCCTTTTAGTGTGTTGAGATGAGAATTTTTTAACTGCTTGATTAATAATGTTGGGTGAAAAGCCCCTGTCAATAGCTATTGCTTATAAATAATTTAGTTCTTCATCAAGGGATAGTTTGGAGGAGCAAACTTGAAGAGCACGGAAAACATAGGAATAAAATGAAGCTAACTTTTGTTTAGTTGGATGACATGATTTAAAGTGTGGTGGAAGGCAAACTGATGATGGTTTATGGTAAACCGTAATACTGAAGTTGGATGTGTTACGTGTGACCAGAATGTCGAGAAATGGAAGAGAATTGCAAGTCTCAAGTTCAATAATTTGTCAATCGAAATTTTTTCGTTTTCACTAACCTCTGTCACTTTCTTCGCTATCGGAAGCGAATTATAATGACGAGGAACTTGTTTTAAATCATATCAAAGACGGAGCACATCGAGATGAAATACTAATTTGGTAAGGAATTATAAGCCAAATAAAATAAAAATATCTGCCCTGAAGATAAGGATAGTGCTGACAGATCAACTTCCAATTCATTACGCGTCCGCTGCGCCGTTTCTCCCGCCGAGCAGCGTGAAATTGATAAACAGATTTCGGATTTCAAAACATACTTTCGCTTTAGATCATTAACAAATATATATCGGAAATTCTATTTGATATAATTGAAAGTTTAAGCTTACTTTTATAAAATTGCTCTTACAGTCTGCAAAATATAATAAGCCGGATCCAATTCGAAAATTAAGGAACAACGCAATCATCAACATTAACTGAAATAGATAATTAGATAATTTTAGCTTATACGTCCATTATACATAAAACGCGCATGCGAAAACGTATTCTGCACTTGCGCACACTCATATGCGCAGTCGTAAAAGATCTTACGCGCTCGCGTAAACGCCTATGCGCATGTGTCAACGCGCCGCATGCGCAGAAAGTTTTTAGTTTTGATGTCCGGATTATAGATCATTCCGAATTATGGGCGTCCGAATTAACGACTTTTGACTGTACTTGAGGTTGCACTATAAACTTCAATACTGAGCAGAATCCTAATTTTTGTACACTACAATTATACTTATATAATTTTTTTTTTCAGGTGAACTGAGGGCTGAAGAAAAATTAGTCAAAGGCCACAAGTTTGACATGCCTGTTCCTGATCATCCCCACGTTCTTAGTGACTCTGGAGCAAAGGCAGCTGAAATTTTTACACAAATATGTGGCCAAGTTCAGATAGTTTTAAGACAAGCATTTTTTTTTATTAGAACATACTTTTTTAAAGGTTCCATTTATGTCTTTTGTTCATACGCTTAAAATGAATTCACCAATAACTGTGGGTGGAAGGGTGGTCTTCATGAAATCTGACTTTTAACTTTTCTGAAGGTCATGTTTCCTTTAGTGTACGACGAAGCACAGTTACTAGATTATAGTCCAAGAACTATTTTTCAGTATAAAGATAGATAATTTTTAGTTGATATTATCTGTTTCAAGAGGTTAGTTGACTAGCCGATCAGACATCCTGAAATTTGCATTCTAGGGTGGCTAATATTTCTTTGTTGTTTACAATACCAATTTGCATAACTCCATTATGTTCTGTGTGGATTGAACTCTATATTCATTTGAAATGTTAGTTCAAATTAAGAATGAAAGTCATAGGAAAAGGATAGAAATGCCAGCTGAGCAAAATTAAGGGCTGTTTGCAAATTTTGACCCAAAATAAGGACTTTTAAGGACCAGAAATCATTTTATGAAAACCTAAGGACTTTTAAGGATAGAATGAATTCTGGAAAGATATGGATTACCAAAACATCACTAGAAATGTTTTTTCACTTAAAAATTAACACCAAGAAAATGTGACCCAGTATAAAAAATTGGTATACCTGGTATAAAAATACTGTTAATTATTTATAGTTGAAAGAAATTAGTATTTTGAAGCAAAATGCAATGATAAGCAAACAAATGACCTTACTCATTTATAGATTATAGTACATAATATTAAATATAGTACATAATATTACTATAATTAACATAACTTAAAAACATTCCTGAAATGCAATGAAGAAACTAAAAATACATGCTGTATATCAATTGCAGTATTCCCTTTACTATAGGGACCATAACTAAGCCAGCATTAATGTTATTGACAAGGATAGCAAGTTTCTTCTACAATGGTAAAAACCAGATAAAAGAAACAGGTTTCTTTTGCCAAAATGGAAGAACTAATTTTTCAACTTATTAGTTTATCTATATTTTATTCACATATAGCACTATTATATAAGTAATTTTATTATTTTAATTTTCTATGTAATTTGTTATGCTAGCAACAGCTTTTTGTTTGGCAATACACATATATCCTTTATTTTGTTACAGCATAAAAAATATACACTCTTAAGGGTAAAAAAAAAATATTACTGTCTTTTCTAAGACTGAAGTAAAAATGATTAGGAACTGATACAGGAAAGTGCTCAGAAAGGAAACTAATTAATATTATCAGTCACTTAATTCTGTATCCTGACATTAATGCAAATCCACATGCAAAGAAACAATACACACTTTTTTTTACAAATCAAAGAAAAGAAAAAAAAATACTGTATAAATTGCAACATGTTTAAAACAGATGAATATTTTTAAACTATAATTTGAAACACAATTTTAAAAAAAATTCTGTAAAGTCCTAAATTTTAATGATAATTTTTCTATTGGTTTAACACGTTTCAGAAGGAAAAATATCAATAAAGTATCACATAAGAATAAGATGACTACCACATTTTTTTACTCTTTTGGGAGAAAATTACTTAAATTACCTCACATTTTATTGCAAAAATGATAAAACATTTATTTTTAATTTAGTTAAACTTTATAACAGAATATATCCATTTCAGCAATCCCATGAATGCACTACTGTTTATTACCCCCCTTTTTTTTTTCAGTTTCTTTTACTGGTAGAAAATAATTCTTTCCCAAAGAAACCCAATCCTGGTTTATAATATAGAAAAAATAAAGTTATTCAATAAACCAAAAAATTCTTCAAATACAGTCAAAAGTCGTTAATTCGGACACCCATAATCCGGAATGATCTATAATCCGGACCTCAAAGCTAAAAACTTTCTGCGCATGCGCCGCGTTGGCACATGCGCACAGGCGTTTTACGCGTGCGTGTAAGACCTTGACATATGCGTGTGCGCAAGTGCAGAATACGTTTTCACCTGCGCGTTTAATGTATAACGGACGGTGTAAGCTAAAATTATCTAATTATCTATTTCAGTTAATGTTGCATTGTTTCTTAATCTTCGAATTGGATCCCGCTTATTATATTTTGCAGACTGTAAGAGCAATTTTATAAAAGTAAACTTTGAACTTTCGATTATGTTCAAATAGAATTTCCGATGCTGGAACTCCCAAAGGATCTACAAAACGAAAAGTAGTTTTCGATGTCCAACAAACAAAAAGTGGAATTGCTGCAAAAAATGATAAAGACATGAAGAATGGGACAGAGAGAGTGTGAAAACGAAAAAATTTCGATTGACAAGTTAGTCGGTATTCTCGGCACAGCAATTACGGGACTTTGAACAGCGGATCTTTGTAACTGAAACAAGAAATTATGTCCTGTTTTATAGAATTAAAGAGGAAGTATGATCACATAAAAACGAAGCAACTTAAACAACTTACATTGAAAGAAATGTTAATAAAGTAAACAAATAAATATTAAGCTTTTTTTTTTTTTTTTTTTTTAAATTTGATACCCTTTAGATCATAATTGTTCTTTATTTCATAAAATTACGGTTTCATATTTTTAATTTTAGAATTTCTGCATGCCATATTACGAGATTTAAACTGATGATCTATAATCCGGAAAAATCGATAATCCGGAATCGCCGAAGTCCCGACGAGTCCGGATTAACAACTTTTGACTGTACTTTATAATTGTATTTACAAAATGTAGTAAATCAATATAACACATCTTATACCAAAAACCATACTGTAAAAAAAAAAAAAAAAAAAAAAAAAAAAAAAAAAAAAAAAAAAAAACTGATTTAATTAGATAGTATGTTTCAAATGACAAAATGAAAAATTTATCAGTAGTGGAATAGCACTAAATAATTAGCGACAGAATTTAATCCCATACGATCTTATGACTTTTCTGCTAAATATTTTGGAAGTTTATGTAGAAGTTTAATTCACTACATAGAAAATGAGGAAAACTATTCGTATTTACTTTCTGACAGCCTTGACTTCAGATGGCACATATCCTGCAGGCATCATTCGTCCATGTTCAAAATTTGCTTCGAGAAAGGAATTTCATAATCAATGAATGATTAAGTTAATGCAAAATTTTATTTACTGCAATGATTACAGTTTCAAATTAATAATTAATGAATAAGAAATTAAAAACAACATACCTATTTTTAGTTCACTATTTTTGTCAAAAAATATACAGCCAGGGTTCAGATTCCTAGAGATACAGAACAGAAATTAGAAATTAATCAAGTAACACAGCTTCTGAGAATTAACTTGATAATATCTGCATGAAACAACATATAACTTACACCTATGAAACCTCTTATGCAATAAAAAATTAACCATACCTGTGCATAAATTTTTTATCATGAATGTACTCAAGTCCACATAAAAGCTTTTGCATAATCTTCCGTATCTACAATACAAAACAATAATTGAATTTTCTATATTTTTACTTCAATGTTTGTGTATGTTTGTATATAGATATATACACACACACTCAACATATATATATATGTAATGAAATATATATATATGTGTGTGTGTTATGAAAAAAAAAAAGGCAGATCATAGATCTATATTGAAGAGGAAGAATTCGGATTGCATAAAATGTAAAATTTGTAATGACTAAGAAATGTGACAGCCAAGGTAGATTAAATTCCATTTTTATTTAAATTCACTTAGTGGCCACAGTTTACTTGACACTCTAATCATGCCTTCAGGAACATTTACATTTTTTAATACTGCTGTGATAAGGAGAGAGCACAGTGAAATAGTGTTCAAGCTAAAAGTACAAATTTATCCAATCTGGAACATTGCCAAGATGGGGTTTTCGTTTAGGTCATAAAAAATTCACTTCTCAAAATTTTGATTTTAAGCTGCCAATAAGTTACGTCATCAGCTTTCCGCAAGCTCTGTGGCATAGATTAATCTCGAAATGGTGCAGTCAGGAAAGATATTATTATTTTTAGAATACAGTGAGAAAAATAACCAAATTAAAAATGAGGAATTTAAAGCCTGTTGCTAAATTGAATTACAAAGCTGATTTACATATTATATATATTATATATACACACACACACACACACTGATTTACGCATTATATATATATGAAATTTTATATATACAGTACAAAGTCCGTAATCCGGACTCGTCGGGACTTCGGAGATTCCGGATTCGCCAATTTAGCGATTCCGGATTTATTAGGACAATTATGATCTAAAGGGTATCAAAATTTACAAAAAAAAAAAAAAAAAAAAAAAAAAAAAAAAAAAAAAAAGAGAGAGAGAGAGAGAGAGAGAAAAGAAAAAGGGGGGGAAAAGCTTAATATTTATTTGTTTACTTTATTAAACATTTCTTTCAATGTAAGTTGTTTCAGATGCTTCCAGAAAAAATTCAAAAAGTTCCTTTTTCTTGTGTCATATTGTAGTGTTGCTGGCCGTGATCGTATAAAATTAAATATACTAAGAGTATCAAATGCGAATTAATTCCGCATAAATCGTTAATCTAAAAATTTAGTGGTTAGTACATTGCATGATTATTAATAATAAGAATCAAATGACTTACCCAATAAGGCATGCATGAATCAGTATCTCTCTTTTAAATATACATTTATTAAACAAAAACACACATTTCTTGATATAACTATATAAATCACAAAAA